ATGCCACTTTCTCTCTCTCTGATGAGTTAAAAATGGGGATGGCAGTGGTGTTCATGGCAGCTACCAACTGAAATCTTCCTTCCTGGCTGTTACTCCATAAGTCAGGAGGGAGCTGTGCCAGTAAATTGGGGAACAGCCCACTCTTCCCGACATCAATAAGTTTGGTTTATAGACTCATAACCTGACCAGCTGGTTCATCCAGTACTGCTCTATGCTAACCGACTAAACTCAACCAACCAGAACGTCTATTTTTACGCTAAAGGCTTTGCTTGGTGAAGATGTTCGCGTCGGCTTTTTAGAGAGGAAAGGATAGATTTTTTGCCAGGATTTCATGTTTTGGACACGACCGATGTGAGGTTAAGACTGAAACTTGTGCGTCCAGGTCAAAATAACAAAGTTAATGATTTACAAACAGGTGGTTTTTTTTTAATAGATAATGTCCAGAATTCACATCTCCCAAGCTACGGTGTCTTAGCAAATACCCAACCATATGAGGAATAAAACAGAGCAATGCTGTCTCATTCCTACCTTCCCGAATTATCTGTTGAACAAGCAGTGGAATAATTGCAATAGATCATCTCACTTCAGGCAACCCATCCAGAAGAATCGAAGGAAATGAAATTAATTAAAAAACCCTCCCTGTTCCTTTCTCATCTCACAAAACAAAGAAAATTTCACCGTTTTGAAATCTAGTATTGATCTAAAAAAACATCTATTTGATCCCAAAGCATTGGAGCCAGTGGTTTCTAAATAATTCCAAATACTCTTGGGCAAAATAAATTATTTATTATTATTTTTAATACCCTGCCCAAGAGGAAGTTTGCAATAAGCCCGTAACTCTTTATGACTTGAGGGTCTAAATTTGACCTTTTTCTTTTCTTTTGAGAAGTTCCACTCGTGTGTTTTAAAATTGGGGGGAAACGAATGTGCTGGTTTACAATTCGTAAGTTAAAAGGTTCAGGTCCTAGGAGTCAGGAAAACCTGCCAGCTGGATTTTTGTTATTGATCTACGTGTAGGTGGAGAGACAGGGCAGATAAGGATGTGAGAAGCACAAAACCAGACTAGCAAGGCAACCTGAGAACTCTGCAGGCCAAATTATTAAAGCAGACAGAATTAAAACACAGAGGATTTTACACGTCTCCATCAAGAGGCTTGAAAAATAAATCCATAGGGAAACTATGAGTGGAAATTTGCTTCATATAAGGATTTTAAGAACCATTAATGGGTGGAACAACTTGGCTCCAGAAGTTGTGAATGCTCCAACACTGGAAGTTTTTAAGAAGAGATTGCACAACCATTTGTCTGAAGTGATATAGGATTTCCTGCCTGAGCAAGGGGGTTGGACTAGAAGACCTCCAAGGTCCCTTCCAACTGTGGTATTCTGTAATTATCAAAACTAGACTGCCATTCACAATTTGATTCCAGATTTTGAAGGATACCTCAAATTATAATTGGTTGGTTTGGCTATAACGTTATATTGCACCGATTTTAAAAGGCAAAAATGAATTATACCCCATATGTCAGAGGTTCCCAAACTTGGCAACTTTAAGACTTGTGGACTTCAACTCCCAGAATTCTCCAGCCAGCTCTGGCTGGAGAATTCTGGGAGTTGAAGTNCACCAAAGGTGGTCCCTATTTTTCTACTTGCATTTTTGACGTGCTTTCGAACTGCTAGGTTGGCAGAAGCTGGGACAAGTCACGGGAGCTCACTCCGTTACGCAGCACTAGGGATTCGAACTGCTGAACTGCTGACCTTTCTGATCGACAAGCTCAGCACCTTAGCCACTGAGCCATCGCGTCCTTTCCCAGTGAACTTAGGATGTCATGAATCACAATACAGGTGGTCCTCGACTTACAACCACAAAAGTTTGTGTTGCTAAGCAAGAAATTTGCTTAAATTGAGTTTTTCCCCAATGTTCTGACTTTTCTTGCCCCGTTTGTTAAGCGAATCACTGCAGTTGTTAAATTAGTAGCGCCGTTGTTAAGTGAACCTGGCTTCCCTATTGACTTTGCTTGTTAGGAGGTCACTCCGCTATGAGGCGCTCGGGATTCAAATCGCCAAACTACCCACCTTTCTCATCAACAAGCTCAGTGTCTTAGCCCCCGAGCCACTGCGTCCCTTGTCTTTGGAGGCCCTACTGTTCAACTAACGCACCAGCCAAGGGGCAATCGGCGTGATTTTTTGAAGAAAAAAAAACAAGCATAACTCAACGTTTTGCGCCTACCTGCAAAAAGGATTGGAAGCAGAAGGTATGGTGTAACAGATCCCACCATTCAGACAGAAAGACCCATAAATGCTGCCACAGAGTTCTTCATGATCTAAAACAGGAGGGGGGGGAAAACAACTTCTGAAAAAAGTTTTGTTATTTTTGAACACTGAAGCCGTCTCCATGAAAAGCGGAGCATCACATGGAGATGAAAGGGGTGCTAACTTGCACATTAGGTGTGAGAGTCCTGGCTATTTCTACCCGCCCTGAAAATGGGGACATAATAAATATCCTTATTTGGAAGCATAGGAAGCTGCTGTAGGAAACATTGACGGACCTGCAAATTGAGGAGGGGGGGTGGGGGGACATTCTGTGGCAATTTCCCCTTGCCCAAATTCTGAAAAGCGAAGCTCATTCAGAGACTGATATTGTTGTGGCCTGCCAGCAGATTTGGACAGCAAGGGGGTTGGCGAGGAAGATGGGCCAGTCCTGGAGTCTGGGGAAGGCTCTGATGAGGGCTCTGTGTCGGAGGCAGAGAGGGGGCCAAGGCCATAAGCCAGCTATCAGCTGCCTTCCGGGTCACATCAGTGAGGCAGAAGAGCAGCTGGAGCCTGTTCCCGGTGTGCGCAAAGAGAAACGAAAGGGGAGTGGAGTTTGCAGGAGACAATTACTTCGCTTAATTGGTTCGTGACTCTCCGAGACTCTTTGTCAAGTTCTGCAGAGATCGGCCTGGAAGCTCTCCAAGCCAGATAAGGTCTGTGACTGTAAATCCTCCCTTGAAAGACTTTGCTGGATGTGAAGGAGCAGAATTCACAGTAAAATTAATAAAAGGGGTTTTTAAGGGGACAAGGAGTTTGCTTCATGGTTTTAGGAAGCCTCGGTCAGAACAGATATTTCCACTACTCTCTATGCCAGTGTTTCTCAACCTTGGCAACTTGAAGATGTCCGGACTTCAACTCCCAGAATTCCCCAGCCAGCATTCGCTGGCTGGGGAATTCT